GCCCCGCGCCCCGGCCCTGCGCCGCCCGCCTCGCACCCCTCCCGGTGCAAGAAAAACCCAGGTTCTCTTCGTTTCCGTCCAAATGACACCAGGAAGGGAGCCCCCGTCCTGAGAGACCCCTGTTGGGGCGCCGTGCCCGCAGTGAGTTTCTTTAGCGGGAGCCCCCAAGCTGCCTGCAGATGTCACCTGGGCCCCGTCGCCCCTCAGGAGGATTCCAACGTCCATAGTGACGACCACCTGCCTTTCCTGGTGGCTTTCTGCGGTTTTAGATTTCGGTCCTACTTATTCATGGGAGGCCCCGCCCCCACTTTTTTTTGGGGGGAGGCTCCCCCGCCCCCACTTTTTTTTTTTTAAGGAGGAAGGACCACTACAGATGTATTTTCCATTTAATTCCTGTACTTTCCGCCCATACCGCTGTTTCATTGCGGGCTCACTGGATCCCTGCACAGCTCAACAGGCGCCTTTGAATTCTCCACACATTGGCGTCTCTGTATTGGTGATGGGAAAGCCTCGGGGTGGGGGTGGCAATTGTTGGGGCTGCAAAAAAGAAAGGCCACTTTGCTGTTTTCTGCAAAAAACAAAAAACAACAACAACAAAAAAACCGTGGTGGTGGAACACTGTGGATTAAGCAGCTCGTCTACTGTGATTGCAACCCCGGGAATGAATACAAGTAATTTCCTAGCTAGCCCGTGGCTGGGCCTGACATTGCTCCCTAGACCGTCAGAGTAATTTCTGAGCTACATTTGGGGAAATGGATGTTTTGGGGTGGTGGGGTGGGGAGAGGAGGCGGCTCTGCCTTTTAGGGGCTATCTGGAACACGTTGGAGAAAAGAGAACATTTCATGTCAGCCTGTTTGTCTTTCCAAATTCGTATTTCTTATGGAAATTCATTTGTATGCTTGAGAGTGAAGGATGTAGGGCCTAGATGTTTCTTGCTTGCTTTCAACTTTCATTAAGTTTGGAGGGAAAAAAATTTTAAGAGTTAAGTAAATTAGGGAGGAAAAAGGCACTCCTACTTTGAGGAGAGTTAAGCACATGGAAAACATCTTTCCTTTAATGAACCATCAGTGGTGCTACGGAGCATGACTGGGTCCTTGATTGCATCAGTCTTGTCCCGAGGAGGAGCCCAGGTGGCGCAGTGGTTGTGCACTGGGCTGCTAATGGCAAAGTCTTGCCTCAAGACAGGACTTGGTTGGGAGCCCCTCCTTAAAACAAAGTTGGTAAGTTTGGGATGAGAGCTGTCTGCTGGTACTTTTCTTTTTCCCACTGAACGTCTTCTGCAGCTCAAATGGATTATTTAGTGCTTGTATTGTCATATTTGAAATGTTGACACAATAGAAAGTTTATGCTTTCACAAGCTTCTTCCTGTTATTCCTGAGAGGGAATCTTAATGGGATATTAAAGTTTTGTACTGAGCTTGTAATGAGAAGATATGGGTTAGGGTCCTACTGCTCTCAGGGAACAGCTGCCCCCTCTTGGACAGATCACCAGCCCTTTGGGAATCTTAGTTGTCTGCAGAGTAGGAGTACCTACATAATGCATGTAAACTTATTTTTGAATTGTCAAAGGAATTAGAAATAGCAGTTGTAATCATTTCATTTCCTTCGTTAGGTTCCTTCACTTCCTTTGCAGGAAATATTTTGTCTTATGTACTTCTATAGAGAGTGAAAGCTTTTCGATGTAACTCATTAAAAAACTCATACATTGTATGGCACTATTCATTTTTTAGACCTTGAAATTCATGCAGTGAAATAAAATGGATGTCTCATTTTCAGCCACGGGGGTCATGGACTCTTTGCAAACTATTTTTGCACATATTCCTATGTGTATAGTTTTAAAGCGCACTTTATTTTCTGAATGCAGAGTTGGTGGGAACTACACCGACCAGCGATTATATGCAATTATATGCCGTCACACATGCTTATTTATGTTGAGCAAACTAGAGAACACCCTCACCAGTGTTTTAACTTAGTCTTCATAGTCTCAAAGATCATACCAGTGTCAAATTTATAACATAGGTTTATTTACTTCAGTTTCTTAAAATAATACTCTTTTCTAAAGAGTGGTAGTAAACTTACAAGAGTTTTAAAAATTAGTATATATTGAATTTAAAAGCCATTTTTATCTTTGAGTTCCAGGAGGCATTGTTACTCTACAATGACACCCAAGGGGGGCACTGTTATATGAAAAAGATAGCTTTTCTGTAATTAATAGGTGTTTTATGCACTTTATATCTTAGAAGAGCACACTGCTAATGAATAATTGTAAATGACTGAAAGGGGTTGTAATTAGTCTATGATTTAAGCAAACTACTACCTCTTGGTAAACTGCTATTTGAAAAATAAGTTCAGATTTTGAAATACTACTTCACTGCACCATAATACCCTTGTTTTCAATAAAACTGTTTCGATGGTCTTTCTTTCATGTAACATTTGATTTTATCACCAAGCGAATTTTTGTGTAAAGAAAAGTGAACCGATTTATTCCAAACCTTCTAGAGTTGTTAATTTTTGAGCCTTTTGAAACCAAACTCTAAATAATGAAATGCTTATGCTTGTATGCCTGTTCTTTCTGAAATAGGTCACATTTTAAAAAATATCACCTATTTTAGATTATAAAAACATGTACAGTAAGGCGAGGTGGCAGGAGACAGGGCAAGTTACTGGAAGGGTTTGATAAATTATTTAAATTGAATAAAAATCTAAAATATATATTTAGACCGAATTTGCAATAAAAAATTAGAATATATACACATTAGTGCAAAACTCAAAAATCCTAAAATGAGCATTATAGAGATCTAGGTATTGGAATGGAAGCTATAATCTGCCTTCAGATATGTTGTAGATAGTTTGATAGTCTTGAACCAAAACTGTGTGTATATTTCATATCAGTTCTGATAACCGATGGTAACATATGGTAATACCATCCTTGCATTATAAATATGTATAATGGATTACATCAGAGGCCTAGTGTGCATTCCTAAAAGATATGGGACAAGTGTGGATGGGTAGATTCCTTTAATTTACACAATTACAACAAACATAGTAAATATATTTTTTAATTACCTTTAAAAGAATATTTTGACATATGCTCAAATCTGGGGTCTGTTTGACTCATGAACTTGTCAAGGAGATTGAAAGTAAGTGCTTTCCTTGAATGTAAAGTAAATTATTTTAGAAAATGGAATTATATGCTGATTTCTTTATTAACTGTGTGAAGCTGCCGTAATTGTATCAGTTTAAAAGCTGTTGACTTTCCCCCTCCCTTTTTTTAAAACCAAAAACCCCAAACAGACTCTAGAGGAAGACTTCCTTTTGGTGATTAATCAGTGCAAGTGAAATTAAGGAACAATGGATGTAGAAAATGAACAGGTACTGAATGTAACCCCTACAGGTAAGGGAGAAGATCTTAAACCTTGACTGTGAACATTTCAGCCATAGCTTATTTTATGAAAATATGAACGTCACTTTTACTTTACACACTGTCTTATTCATGCTGTAAGAATAAATATATACGATACTGTTTTTCAAATTTCAAAGTTTGTGATCTTGTTTATATGGAAATTAATAAAATCCGCTTATTCTTCTGCCCATTCTTTTACATTCTTCTAGTTATAAAGAAGTATAGTGCAGACTGAAGAGCAATAGTGACCTTACTCATGTTTTCATATATATGTTAGTGATTTCACTATGTAAATTATTGGTATCTTTGATATGTTCCCTAAATAATTTATATATTATAAATAACCCATGGTGCTTCGTTGGCATTATAAAAATGAACATGGTTTTGTAGAAGTGCAAATATTAAATAATTTAAGGCAAATACATTTTTAGTCTTCAGAATAGCTTTCCAGAAAGCTAATTAGTACTCTCTCAGAAGAAACCTTGCAGCAACCCTGTAGCATAGGGTAGAACTGACCCTGTGAGTTTCCACGACTATAACTCATGAGAGTAGAAAGCCCTGTCTGTCTTCTTAGGAGTAGCTGGTGGTGGTTTCAAACCGCTGACCTTACAATTAGGAGCCCGTGTGTAACCACTGTTGCACATTATTCTGAATGTTGCAAGCTGTTAGAGTTCCTGCATGGCCCAAATGGCTAAATGCTCAACTACCATCTAAAAGATTCGCAGATAAAACCCACTCAGAGGGACCTGGGAAGAAAGGCCTGGTGATTTTGTTCTGAAAAGTCAAAGCCTAGAAAAATGTGTCGAGCAGTTTCTACTCTGACACACATGCAGTTGCCATGACAACCAACAACAGTTTAGGTCATTCTTTTATAGTCATGTTATTTCCTGTAACTTAAATGTATTTTCACATTTAAATGCTACACTTTTATTTCATGATTAAGTCATTAATGTGTACAATTTACAAGGAAGCCTGGTGGCACAGTGCTCATTTTATTAGTATGAAAGAAAGTGAAATAGCTCAGTAAATTTTTTCATTGGTTACATATGGAAATGATAACATTTCGGATTTAATAAAATATATTAAGATTAATTTATCCTGTTTGTTTACTTTTTAATGGGACTGGTAGATTTAAAATTACAGATGTGACTCTTATTTCTTGGACAATGCCACTTGAAGATGTATACTTTTTCTGACTATAACAAGGCCGAATTCTAACCATGTTCTTGGTGCCTCTGCCCAATACTGCCTTCAAATGAGGAACTTGCAGTTCTCCAATAAATGAGTGGGTCTGAGAGAGACCTTTCTTTAAGTAAACTCTTCCTATAGCAAACAGTCCAAGTTAGAGAGATTAGTGTACTAATCCCAACGTTTTCCCTTCCAATTCTAATATTTGGAGGAGCTAAGTTATTTTCATTGACCTTCATTTTCCTCATGTGTAAAATTGAAGTATAAATACTTTTCTATTGGCAGTGTATAAAATGTGATTATCTGCTATTTTAATTCCAAAGTGGTTGCTATTGAGAAGTGAGAGAACTTAAGAACCAAGTAAAAAGTAGAAAATGAACGTTGCTTATTGAGTGTATTTAAAATTCATGAGAATGTGAAAGTAACCCTGTTTACTACTCATTTATTAGGCTGAACTATAGGAGATTGGCTGTGAGATGGTTACTAACCTACAAAAATGGTAATTCCACGTGGTACAACCTAGTGTAATTGATGAGTATATTCGTAGAAGAGACTGTAGGTGTTTAAAGCACTTAAGAGGTTTTTCCCCTTTCATTTTCCTCTTTAAGATCCTGATAATTTAAGTGACTCTCTTTTTTCTGGTGATGAAGAAAACGTGGGGACTGAGGAAATAAAGAACGAAATAAATGGAAATTGGATTTCAGCATCCTCCATTAACGAAGCTAGAATTAATGCCAAGGCAAAACGTAGACTGAGGAAAAACTCATCCCGGGACTCTGGCAGAGGTGACTCCGTCAGTGACAATGGAAGCGAAGCCCTGAGAAGTGGGGTAGCTGTGCCAACCAGTCCAAAGGGGAAGTTGCTTGATAGGCGGTCCAGATCGGGGAAAGGACGGGGCCTGCCGAAGAAAGGTTGGTACATGCTCGAGCCGGAGAAATGGATGGAAAACAAAATCTGATCCTCTGTGCTACAGCTGCCTCCTTCTAGGAAGGAGAGAAATTTAAACAGTGTCGGGGTTGGGCTTAAGTCTATTTTTATATGGTAATGTCCTGAGGACCATTCTAACGTGCTATTTAAGTAGATAGCCAATAATGTTCCGTGAGCAGAACATTTTTCTCTCACCTACAGCAAAATACTGATGGTTTTCACAGTTGTGAACTGTGCATGTACTGTCTTTGCTGGCAAGAAAGGGAGAAAGTCAACACGAATCTGATAATACCCATTGTTGAGAATACATGATAACTACAAGTTTGGTTGGCAACGTCTGATCAGAACTTTAGTGATTCATAAACATAGCTGGTCATTCTCTTTTGTTATATTTACTTTGAGTACTGGAGTGTGGACTGTTTCACTGCTGCCTCCTCTGTGTCTGGAGCAGTGATGGGCACTTGGCAGGTACGCTGTGTGCTGGTTTAATCTGACCTGTTGGGTTTTGGCTGAAGTAGAATCTCAATACAAATTGGAGATTTTACCTTCTTTCATATAGTGGGAACTCCCATCCTATAAACTAGACTTTTTGAAAAATATTTTTGTCTGTAAAACAAAAAAAATTGTGTTGGATACCTTTATAATCATTGGCTCAGTCAGAATGAAACTGAATTATCAAGTTCTGTTGAGCTCTTGCGGCAGATATTAGATAACTTCTGCTCATCCTGTGACACCTCCCCCCCATCATTGGTAACACTGTAAAGTTCGAAGAAGACAAACATTATATTGGACCCTATAAAAACATTTTAATGTTTATTCAAAAAGCAGCTTTAAAAGTTGGGACTGTTAAACTTCTGGTCAGTTTGTATACAGAAATATGCGGGGGGGGGGGGAATTAGTACTGTTAATGCTTAAATAGTAATCATTTTTAACATTACTATCGAAGTATAATTTATACTTTTATATCTAGAGTATTTGACTTTAAGACATTTGATGGTGATCACTACATTTCTTTGTTAAATAGTTTCTTCCTTGTTAAGATTTCTTTGCCATATTTTACTGGCCCAAACATGTTGATTTCTTTTGGTTCCAAGAAATGTCAAAATTATGATTTAGAAGTCAATTGCATATCAGTATAGCCATTTTTTGTTTTTGTTTTTTTTCTTTTAAGGCATCTTCCTGCTTTGTTTTAAGCTTACAAGTGATTTCAAATGGATTCTTTTGGAAATAGATTTATAAGATATATAAACTTGTGAATATTGAAAAGCAACTATATGATTTAAAAACAGTTTTACTATAACTTGGCTGGAAAAATCTAAACAATTAAAACAAAATTTTAGCTGTTATTTAATTGAACATCTGGAATTTAGATTTTAATTTCAGCTAAAATTTGTATGAACCATCTCATTTCATACAGAATCATATATACTTGTAATTGCATTTCAATTTAGATAAGTAAAATTTTGAACCATGGAAAATTTATAATAAAACTGCATTTTCAGTGACCCTTATCACACATTTTATAGTAGCGTGGCTCTTGCAGCAAATGTACATGTGTGTTGTTCTTATAGATGAGGGTTTTATATTATTTTTTCAGGTAGGTTTCTGCATTTATGATTTTATCTATCTGTGTTTTGCCTCGTGAGTAATATATTAGGATGGGATTTGTCACATGAGATTTTGGGGTCATTCCTTTTCAATTCTAACCCTTTGAAGGTGGTGCAGGAGGTAAAGGTGTGTGGGGTACACCTGGACAAGTGTATGACGTGGAGGAAGTGGACGTGAAAGATCCTAACTATGATGATGACCAGGTATCACTGTTTCATTTTAAAAAAATTTAAGTGCTATAGACTTTTTTGGCCTCATGCTCATAACTTAATCATATATTCATAAACAGAACCTTTGATTTTCTAAATCAGGTACACATATATTCATAGTGCTTTCAAATTATTGAGTGCATTTTGGATTAGCTCAGCAGATCAGCTTGTAGTATTTATAAGTCTTCACATGATTTCTGATGTAAATCAAAAGTAGATTTTTATACAAATTCATATAGGAAGGTTATCAGGTTGATCATTTTTTTCAATAAGGTCTGTTGAGTTAATATGGTTTCTGTAGTAAATGATAATTGAGAAGAGCATGCATCCTTTTAAATATCTTAACAGGTCTAGAATTTCTATGTCCCTTTTACTGGATGGTGAATATTAAGTTTTGGTTTGGAAAAAGGATGTTTTTTTTTTTTAATTCCTGTATGCACACTTAAGTGACAGTGATTAAGTTTTTCAACCATTTTTTTGAATCCTGTCATTGTTGACATATCATCAGGTGTTTTCAGTGTTCTCTGAGTCAGAGCTTCCCAAAGTGGGTGATAACACTTTCTTGGGGGTGCACAGTTATGATTTGTTCATTGTTCACAGCCATCGAGCCCATGTTGACCCTATATAAGATTTTCTAGACTGTAATTCTTTATAGGACTAAAATTCTCCATCTTTATCCCAAGATGGTGGTTTTGAACTCCTGACCTTGCAATTAACAGCCCAACATGTAACCACTATGCCATCAGGGCTCCTTGGAATGATCCAGGGAGTGTAAAGCAGACACCTGGATTTACCCTGCATTATGGACTATAGTATAAAAGTTTTAAATTGCTGGGAGTGGAGCAAACACTAGTACCTTTTTTCCTGAAAAAAGGGCAGTAGGCCAAATATGTTTGGGAACCTATGCCCTAAGCAAAGTCCCTTTTTTTCCTACCAGCCCAGGTAATGGCTGATTACTTTTGGTTTCTGTATATTTTCTTCTTTCATATAGTTGGTAACCATACGGTATTCTTTTGCGTCCAGCATAACATCCTAAAAACATTCATGCTTTGTGGCATTCCTCTGTATGGTTGACTAATAATTCAATTGTACATGTGCTGTAGTTTGCTTATTCATGCATCGGTTGTTGGGTATTTATTTAGGTTATTTCTTCCTTTCGTCTGTTGAGAAGAGTGCTGTGTCAACATTGGTCCATTCATACTGCTGCTTACAGGTTTTTGGGTATGGACCTCGGAGTGGAATTGCTGGACTTCTGGTCACACTATGCTCAACTCTTTGAGGAGCCACCAAACTATTTCCCACAGTGGTACCCTTTTACATTCCCATCAGCAATGGGTAGGGTTTCTGTTTTCCAAAGCTTGTGAACTTTGTTTAATTACTGCCATTGTTAAGGGGGTGAGGTGGTAGACCCCTCATTGTTTGTGCTTTTGATTTGCATCTCCTTTCTAGCTCATAACAGCATTTTTTTCATGTACTTGTTGGCTGTTTGAATATCCTTCTTGGTGAAAGTCTATTGAGGTCCTTCACCCATGCTTTGATTGAGTTGTCTTTTTTAAAACATATTTTTAATGGAAAACATAACTGCGACAAAAGTAGAAAGAATAGTATGATGAATCCACTTATACTCACCTCCCAGCTTTTCAACTATAATAATTATTCATTTATGGCCAGTTTTATTTCATCATCTATCTAGCATTCACTCTTCTCTTGTATCTTCCCATACCCACTGTACTTTGAATTATTTGGAAGCAAATATCAGACATTGTGACATGTTCATTTTCTAAAGACTTTTAATTATGAACTTAGGTGAAGGTTTACAAAACCAATCATCAGCTTTGCACATTTAACAACTCATCAAACCTCCTGTTGTCTTGCACTGCTTCCATCATTTTTTTTTGCATTAAGCATGTTTTTAAAAATACTGAGCATAAGATAAGACATGGTCGTGAGATTTTTTTAGGCAGGAAAATGTCATGGCATATGTAAGGTTGTCTTTATTGAATGGTGTGTGTATATACTATACTCAGTGGTTTTAGCTGGGAGATGGTTTTGGCGATAGACATTAATCAGGATTTTTTTAAATGTTGGTTGAACTTTGTCTTTAGTGATCTTTCAGTAACTAGAGTTTTGGTTTTTATTATAGGGACTTTTATTATGTGCTAGTAGTTTCTAGTCAGGGAGACAACGGTTGGTGTAAGACATGAAAACAATTTATAAATTATCAAGGGTTCGTGAGTGGGAGAGAGGTTTGGGGAGGGGAGAACATGAGCTTATATCAAGGGCTTAAGTAGAAAGTATTTTAAAAATGGTGATGCCAACATATGTATAAAAGCCCTTGACACAATGGATGTATGCATGGATTGTGATAAGAGCTGTAAGAGTCCCCAATAAAATGATTTATTAAAAAAATAGTTTGTAGTCATGAAGGCTTTAGGTCTTTAATCAATTTTTTTTAAGTTAAGCTTTAATGAAGAGAATAGGAAGCCATAATAAAGCCTTTTAATTAACAAGTGACTAGTTTTCTGACATATAAAAAATTAGCAAAAGGCGTGGAGAATTTAGGTAGGTCATGTATTTTCTATGTTTATGGTTCTAATGCACATATTGATTTATCATACTCGGGTTTTGTAAAAGAATAGTGATAAATGGGTTCTATCTTTTGTATAAGTGATCACCTAAACACCTTACCAGATTAGGTTTTGAGTTTGAAGGCTTAGCATGCTCTCATGGGACAACTTGTTAATTGACATAATTCATAAGGTTCATAAAGTCTGTTCTATATCACATACTGATTAGTAGTTTCTGAGGTCGTAGAAGCTTGTGAGTAGTCATCTAACTATCACTACTCCTACTCATCACTTACTGGCCATCTCCTCCAACATTTTGCACATGAGAATAGCAAAAATCTTTTAGTCTTTTTTGCACATTAACAATGTATGTCTGCCAGTGATGAATGCCAAGGTGATATTTAAGGTAATATATATCACCTTGGCTGGGCCGTGATTCTCAGTGGTTTGGCAATTATGTAACAATTTGGCATTTCTGTAACCATGTTATCCTGCATTTTGTGACCTGAGGGTCACCCCCATTTCCTTATAATGTAGATTGAGTCTTTGGACCCAACCATGTTGATAAGTGAAGCATAAGCATATTGGTTTCTACTTGTCCAGAACAAAAGAAGGAAATCAAAGACACACAGAAGTATGTAGTCTAACCAAGTAAATATGAACCAGTCCACTGCCATCGAGGTGATGCTGATTCATCGCGACCCTATGGGACAGAGTAGAGCTGCCCCTCTGATTTTACAGCAGAAAGCCTCGTCTTTCTCCTGATATAGTTTAAAGTATTAATTAAGAATAAAAAACCAAAACCCATCAACTAGACCACCCATTGCTGTTGATTCAATTTTGACTTCTTGATGGAGTAGAACTGCCGTGAAGAGTTTTTAACACTGCAGTTTTATGAAAGCAGGATGATACACCTCTCCTGTGGAATGGCTGCTGGGTTTAAGGACAGAACTCAAATTCCAAAAAAAAATCACGGACTTCCTGGGTCAGTTGAAACGAGGTCTTTTCAAGTATATTTCCCTTAAACAAAAGATAACCCCAGGGGGCTACCTTTTACCTAAAAAGCAGCAGATGGGTTTATTGAATAAAGAATATCAACTTTGAACAATAAGAATCTTTAAAAAAATCAATTATCTGAGACCAACTGTCCAAAATCAGACTCCCAAGATAAGATAGTAAGGGGCAAGGAAATTACAGGACTGGGAATGGTCCAACCAGAGCAAACTGAATGAGAATGAGATCGGTGACACATTGTGAAGAATGTGACCAGTATTATGGGATAATTTGTGCAGTAGAAATTGTTAAAAGGGAACATAATTTGCTGTGTAAACTTTTACCCTAAACACCATAAAATCTTATTTGGAGACAAATATTCAAGCATGGAACATGAAGTGGGGATTATTGACCAGCTGCAATATAAAATTACAAAACTATTTTAATAAATCTGGATATTTTGTTCTTCATAACTTTTTCTCTTTTCCCTTTGCCTTTTCAGGAGAACTGTGTTTATGAAACTGTAGTTCTGCCTTTGGATGAAAGGGCATTTGAGAAGACTTTGACACCAATCATACAGGAATATTTTGAGCATGGCGATACTAATGAAGTTGCGGTAGGTTTGAAGTTGCAAGTACAATTTATTTAATGTCTGAGAGGAAGCATAAGCTATCATAAGTAAAACATAACTAGAGTGATCTTGGCCCACTGATAAGTGTTTTCTTTTGTATAAATGACTTTTTGTGAAGTCTCATTAGCTTAAACCATTTCTTACATGTTTGGAATTACACCCCTTTTAAGATCTGAAAAATGCGCAGCAAAATATACATACATGTCTTTGATCACTTTTGCACATGCAGTTCAAGGATTGATGATGGTCTGCTTGTTGTGGACCCATTCTCCCCTCCTTTTCTGAGTTGTTGCTTCCCCACGAACCTAAACTCATGGCTTCCTGTGGGCAGCATATTCTTTGATAGCATTTCAGGGAACCTGTGAATCTTCTAAGGGACAGTGGTAGAAATCTAGCTGGGTAAATTACAAAAAAACAAACAAAACATTATCCGTTCAGTAATGCCTTCCCTGCGGAGATTCAGATTTGATTCCTGGTTAGTGGACCTCAGCACAGCCACCCCCTGTCTGTCATTGGAGACCTCTGTGTTGCTGTGATATGGAACATTTTGATTGGCGCTCCCAAATTAAGCTTGGCTAGTGAAAATGCTCTGAACACCTTGGTCCCATCCCTTTGTGCATAGCATTGCTATGAGTAGGGGGTGACCCAGTGACTGATCTCTAACAACGTGGACGTTCTGAATCGTCTCAAGGGACCTAGACCTCAGTTAACAATGTTGACTTCAAAAAAAAAAAATGTTGACTTCAGTGTTTTTTTTTTTTTTGGACATTCATTTTGATGCTCAGAATTAGGATAAAATTTATCTTTGTACTTTCTTTTTAAAGTAACAATCAGAAAATGATGGCAACATATATCCAAATATGCTTGATACAATTGATGTACGGATTTTTACAAGAGCTGTATGAGCCCCCAATAAAATGATCTTTAAAAAATAATCAGTGATGTGAAAAAAATTATGTAGTACAAAAACAATGCTCTTTAGGTCTTCCTAAAGTACAATTTACATAGGAAACATTTACTGTATTAATTAGAAATTATTTATGAAGTTGATCTGGCCTGTTGCTGTGTGCTATTGAGTGTGCATTACTGTTGTTGATTCCGACTCAGTGACTGAGGGGCAGAGTCGAAGTACCCCATAGGTCTCCAAGGCTGTTGTCGTTACAAAGTGGACCGTCGCCTCTTTCTTCTGTGGAGTTATTGTGGGGTTCAAAGCACTGACCTTCAGAAGAAAAACGGCATGTAAAACAGCTTGAGATAATGGAAAGTGAATCTCTCCATAAATGCTTATAAAACAATCGCCCTAAAAATATAAATACTGTATATACTTGAGTATAACCCAACCTGAATATTAGCTGAGGCACCTAATTTTACCACAAAAAACTGCATTAAAAATGTGCTGAAAAACTTGGCTTATACACGAGTATAGATGGTAGATTATAGGGTAGAAGGTTAGGTTTAGCCCTTAAAACCAGTCTTATAATATTAATGAAGTTTTAGAGTAAACTATTCTAGGTGTAATTTTACATTCTTAGTTTATTGACCAACATTCTTGGTTGGTCAGCCAGAGATTGACAAAGTGAATCAATATCTAATTAATATGGAAGGAAAGCTATGTTTACCCTGTCTCCCACACCTTGACTATTTTTGTATTTCCCAAGGCTGTAAGGATATATGAATGAAAGACTGTTTTTTCTAAGGTAAGATTTTTACTAAAGATGCCTTTGTTTTAAAATAGGAAATGCTCCGAGATTTAAATCTTGGTGAAATGAAAAGTGGAGTACCAGTGTTGGCGGTATCCTTGGCATTGGAAGGGAAGGCTAGTCATAGAGAAATGACGTCGAAGTTGCTTTCTGACCTTTGTGGGACAGTAATGAGCACAAATGATGTAGAAAAGTCATTTGATAAATTGTTAAAAGATCTACCAGAACTAGCCTTGGACACCCCTAGAGCACCACAGGTTTGTGTGATTCTTCATTTTGTCCATCCACCATAGTTAGAGAAATAGTACATGCTCTTAGGAGAGTTTCGTAGATGCGAGGGGAACACTTGGGCCCATGTGTTCTACCACACAAAAAAACATTTTGATGTTTGTTTTTTTTATTAGCTATTTTTTAAGTGTACTTTTCATCATAACTATAAACTGTTTTATATCTTTTATTTTCCATCTCATGCTTTGTATCATGTATTTTGTGTTTAAGTATAGTTAAGCTGTTTTATGAACCAGGAATTTTAAAAGTATAAATTACTAAGAATTGAATTTCCATGGCTAATGTTTATTTCAAAGTAACTATAAGTTGGTTTCCTTTTGAAACCTTGTGGGGAAATGAGTAAATCCATGAGTTCGTTTTAGAGTCTATCAAGGCCTTTAAAAAATGAATTATATTGAATTATACTTTATTGCAATGGATTTTGTTATGTACAAAATGTGCTTTCTTAGGCTTTTCACTGTGAATTGGGTAAAGGACCTTGTATTTTTATTAGATGTTAGTATATACTGATACATAAGGTAACTTCCTGACTTAAAATTGAAAATATGAGGTTAATAAACAACATTTTGATTAAAAGTTTGTAATCAAAGTAATTTTAAGCATTTTACTGAAACATTAATTTAGAACTAGTGTATAAAGAGCCAGTTTCTAAATGTCTCTTATCCAAGGACAGACGAAAGTCCATCAGATAGTGAGGTGTGATTCAAACATGGGCTCCCCTCTTCTTTATAGCAGTACACATACTGAAAAATGGATGCTTTAAGTTTATATGCATTATAAAATTTTTGAAAAATACTGAAAGACTAAAAGGACTAAAAGTCAGAAGAAAATAACCACTGCTTACTATTTGATAGAGATCCCTGGTGGTGTAGTGATTATGCATTGGCTGCTAACCGCAAGGTCAGCACTTCAAAACCACTAGCTAGTTCTGAGGGAGCAAGACAAGGCATTTTACTCCTATAAAGAGTTACAGTCTCAGAAACTCACAGGGCATTTATGTCCTATTTGGTCACTATGAGTCAGAATTGACTCAGCGGCAATGAGTTTACTGTTTGATATCAAGCCTGCAATTCTATGTTCTATGGATGTATGCCAATGTTTGGCTTATATACATTTATTTACTTTTGTTTTAATAAAAAATGGGATAATACTACATAATTGCTGCCTTGTAAACTTGCTTTTTTTTCTGATTCCATAAAATATGGTGAAGATTTTCCCTTATGGTCACATAGTATTATACCCTTTTATATGTGTAACTTTTAATTAGACATTTATTTCTGGCCACTGAAGTTTCCAGGTTTTATGAACATACTATCAGAGATAACTCATTTTATTTTTTCTCTCTCTCCATTTTGGATTGGACACTATGTGTGAGGCAGTGTTTGAGGTGCTGGGGATGCAATACTGAGTAAAACAAAAGAGCCCTTCTCCAGCCTCTGTTCATAACTGGAATATAGAAAGGTGGAGTGTGGCACGCAGAACTAGTAGGCACAAATCCCAGCATGCCCCTTAAGTACTGATTGCAGTCTTTATCAATTATGTATGGGAAAATTGTGTTTTATAGACATTTATTTTAGATTTTTTTTTTATAGTTGGTTGGCCAGTTTATTGCTAGAGCTGTTGGAGATGGAATTTTATGTAATACCTATATTGATAGTTACAAAGGAACTGTAGATTGTGTACAGGCTAGGTAAGTAAATTAATTTTCCTTCTTAGAATTTCAAACAAGGGAAATTCCCCATTAGTCTAATGAAATTATTGTAGGCATTCATCAAATGTTGTGGGCATGAAATTGTCAGTTGTTTGTATACTTCAGTGTTAAAAGTGAGAGGTTATTGGTCTGATCTAAGGGGAAGAGGATATTATGATACAGTAGTCCTGACTTTTTGTCAGACCATTAGATACCTTCATGTTAAAGCCATTCTGTTTGAGCCTAAGTTTCGCTATTTATAAAATAAAAGGATTGGACTTAAAATTTTCTTTAAGGTCCCTTTAGATTCTAATTTTCAATAGTTATTTAATATTTTAATAAGACAAATACGATGGGCAATTTTAACTAAGGGTCCCTATCTGTAATTTATTTTGTGTTTCCCTACTACAGATATCTTTTCTTAATCACAAAATAGTGTGTTTTTTACTCTTGTTTTTTTGATCCAATTAATTTAAGGCTAGATGGGGTTTTTGGGAGTTACGCTAAGTGATTTTTCAGAATATCCTGACTAGTTAGGTTTGGACTTCAAGTCTTAGATGGACATGCTGAACCTTACCTCCATTGTAAAGATTACTTCAAGTCAGTGGTTCTCAACCTTCCTAATGTTGTGACACTTTAATAGATACTCGTGTTGTGGTGACCCCCCCCAACCATAAAATTACTTTTGTTGCTACTTCCTAACTGTAATTTTGCTATTGTTATGAATTAGTGACCCCTGTGAAAGGGTCATCTGACCCCCAAAGGGTCGCAACCCACAGGTTGAGAGCCACTGCTTCACTTCATACTGAAATTGTCTCCTTGGTTGGGAAGGCACATTTGTAGGTAAAAGTTAGTTAATTATATGTGAAGTTAGCATTTTCACCGTAGAACAGTTAACTTTATAGAATCATTGATAAACGTGAAAACCAGTTTCCTTTTGCTCCCCAAATTTTCCCAGTCTTTTATTTTGAAAGGTTGTTTTTATAAGTATTTTGGAATTTATGTTGTTTTTATGTTGCATGAAAGCTGTCAGCATTTATGGGATTTTGTCAGTTTCTCCATAATTTGGTAAACCTCAAGCATGCTATGCTAGTATGCCAAAATTGGATGATTAAAAACATTTTTTAAAAAATTTCTTTTGTAGAGTTGCTCTGGACAAAGCGACTGTGCTCCTGAGTATGTCTAAAGGTGGAAAGCGTAAAGACAGTGTCTGGGGCTCTGGAGGTGGGCAGCAGCCTGTCAATCACCTTGTTAAAGAGGTAATTTAATTTATATATCTTCCTCTGCAAGAAACAAACTATGTATCCTGGATGGTATTTTTGTTTAGTCTTAAAATTAAAAAAATTCAATGACGTTCAGTCTTATAGCCCCAAATGGAAAGTTTGAATAAACCTGTTATATATTTGTCTTTACATTCTTCTTGCTTGTTACGTGATACTTAGATGATTCCTGTTACCTGGAATTAAAAGTGAGACTATGTTAAGTTAAATGAATGTTTATGCTTTATGGTAAGAGGATTGTTTATGAATGTCCAATGCCTGAAATCCTTTTTTCTGCTTGTATTTACAATACTCATACTGTCATTCAAATACTACTGAAGAAAGATTTTGTTTTGTAATTATTCAATAAGTATCCATTTTCATATGAGAAATTTGAATTGTGAGCATCAGAGTAGATTAGAGTCATGGGTTTCTGTGAGTGGGAGTCACTGACTGTATGTATACTTTAAAAGAAAAAATATCTTAAAAATGCAAGATATATTCCCTATGAAATTTTCTTCCTGTAATGGGTGTTCTATATCACTAAATAAAAAGAAAAATTTTAAATCTCCTCATTCTGGAAATCTTTTTTTTTTTTTTTTTTTTCATTCTGGAAATCTTTTAAGGAGATTCGGCAGGTAATTCGAAGATTTATACTGCTTGTGCTTCTGATTTATTTGAGTATAATATTTTCCTTTTTCCATAGCTTTGAATTTTAGTCTTTCAGTGATCTATATATCTAATGTGAGAGTTAAGAGTTTAAAATATAATTACAGCTTTCAGTAATTTTGCTATTATGTTTGCTGTTAGATAGAGATGTTATAAGTACCCCCCCCAAAAAAGGGGGGCACTGTATGTATCATGTCATTATGACACTGCCTGTTTTTCTTCAGAGAAGTAGTCGAAATACTGCGATATGAAAATAATTAAGATGCCAGGGCAACCAGGAAAGAAAAGAAATGAAAATCACACAGATTGGAAAGAAAAATTTTAAAACATCTGTTTCCAGATAAGATCTTGTATATAGAAAATCCTAAGGAATCTACAAAATAAAAAGAACAGGAAAAACCACAACTATTAGTTTCCTTAAAAGAACTCAGCAATTATAGTATATTACATCAATATGCAAAAATCAAATCTCATTCTATAGCTATGAATTAAGGCAAGTGGATTACATAGTGGGCTGTTAACTGCAAGGTCCCTCTGCTGCAACTTGGGAGAAAGATGAGACTTTCTTGCCTCCATCAAGATTTGCAACCTCAAAACTCACAGGGGCACGTTCAGCCTGTCTGTTAGGGTTGCTGGGAGCCGGAATCGACCTGATGGCAGTGAGTAGAATTGCGAGGACAAAGAACTGCCCGTGAGTTTCAGAGACTGTTACCTTTATGGGAGTTGAAAGCCCCATCTGTCTTCTGAGACTGTTGCTTTTGAATGCTGACCTTGCAGTTAGCTGCCCACCATGGAACCAATACACCATTTTTGGCTTCTGGTGCATTATAAGGTCATTTTAAGAAGTGAGATTGTGTGCCACTTTAAAGTTTTATTTTGAGACTGGGTTTGTGCCTTCTGTTGTTAGGTGCTGTGCAGGTGGCTTCAAATCATAGTGACCCCAATATATAACAGAATAAAAACACTGCTGGGTCCTGTGCCATGCCACAATCATTGCTAAGTTCGAGCCCATTGTTGTAGCCACTGTGCCAGCTCATTTCCTCGAGGGTCTTCCTCTTTTTTGCTGACTCTTTATTTTACCAAGCATGATGTCCTTTTTGATGGACTGGTCTCCTGATAGCATGCCCAAAGTAATTGAGACAGTCTTGCCATCCTACCTTCTTGAGAACATCCTGGCTGTACTTCAAAGACAGTTTGTGCTTCTGGCAGTTCACTGTACTTTCAGTGTGGTGTGCCCTCTAGTGGACTTTAAAGCCCGTGTTTGCACACTGAAGCATTGTGGTTACCATGCAGGCCAGTCACCCCAGAAATGTACTTGTAGAGCTCAGTGATTATTAAGAAACACTGAAGGTACTACATTTGCTTCACAGTTATGAATCACTTGAAAATGGGACATTTTTATTATGAAAATATGCTTGTGAACATGCCATGTCGTCGGTGTGCTCTTAACGTAGCTGTTCTAACTTTTCATGATCATCTTCATTGGGGTGAGAGTAAATGAATTTGTAGGCAAAGCATACTTTTTTTTTTAAATGAGGAAAAGGAATTTTAATACACTTCAATTTTTAAATCTAATAGATTGATATGCTGCTGAAAGAATATATACTATCTGGAGATATAGCCGAAGCTGAACATTGCCTTAAGGAATTGGAAGTTCCTCATTTTCATCATGAGCTTGTATATGAAGTAAGATTCCTTTTACATACCAGTGATAAGTATTAAATGTCCTTTTTTGCACCACAGTGACTTAATGCTTCTTTATAACATTTAATAAGTAGAATATTTTCTTTTCCAAAAGATAATACTGTGAGGGGAGAAAATTATTTTAAAATGTTTGTGATGCGTATAACTCTAAATAGAGAACAAGGATGACAACAGTTTCTGAACAGATTAGTGGTCTCCAAATTAATGATCATTCCTTCAAATTGTAGGCTATTGTAATGGCTTTAGAGTCAACTGGAGAAAGTACCTTTAGAATGATCTTGGATTTATTGAAATCCCTTTGGAAATCCTCTACCATTACTGTAGACCAAATGAAAAGGGTATGTATAATATTTTGTATTTAATATATAATAATTGAATAAAGTTTTTAAGTTGTCAATGAAGCTTTCTTAGAGATATTTTAATATAATCATGCCTATATGTGAAGAAAACCAAATTCCTCGTGAGTGGACCAATTAGTGGAGGAAAGATTAATGCCATCTAAGATTTTATTGTGCCTGGATCCACAGTCAATGCACATGGACACAGCAGTCAAAAGATGTGTTGCATTAGGTGAATGCCCAAGACCTCTTTAGAGTATTGAAAAGCAAGGATGTTACTTGGAGGACTGCCGTGTGCCTGACCCAAGCCAGGGTATTTTCAGTTGTCTTGCATGTGACAGTTGGACATTGAATAAAGAAGAGCGAAGAAGAATCGATGCGTTTGAGCTGTGGTGCTGGAGACGAGTAGAGTACTCGGGACTGCCAGAGGACAAGCATGCTATCTTGGAAGAAGTACAGCTGGAGCAAGGGTGTCGAGATTCATCTTCTAATACTTTGGACATGGTATTAGGAGAGACTAGTCTCTACAGTAGAGGGGAAGAGAAGATGAGGAAGGTCCCCAAGGTGATGGATTGGCACCATGGCTGCGACAATGGGTTCAGGCAGTGCTTCCTTCTGTTGGGCACGGGGTTGCTGTGAGGGGAACCCGCTGCATGGCACCTCACCACAGTCACGGACCTAGGAAGGTTCTTTCTGTTGGTCTTCTAAAAAGTTAAATGGGGATTATTTGAACCATTTTCAAGGACAGTAGAAAGTAACACTTGGTTTTTTTAATCAATTTTTTAATGTCTGGTTTTTCTGATGTATGTGTGTGTGTGTGTGTGTGTGTGCTTACAAACATTTGTGCTTGTGTATCCGTCCTGTGACTGTTTCTAAGGTACAATTGCATATTTATTCATTTGCCCTATTTAAAACCGCATGCATTGTTGCTGAAACATTGGATGTGATGCTCTCTCACTTACCCTGAGTACCTGGTGTCTGATTGCAACTCTTTGGAAAGAACAATTTAAAAGAAAATGTTGTTACCAAATGTTTCTTTCCATAGTTTTAAGGTTCAGATCTGATACTAGTCTAACCAAATGAACGTTTGGCCATGAATGTAGGTTCTTGACTTAGTAGTGAATGGTGTTATATGGCATTGATGTGCTTCATATGGCGAACACTTTTTCATCTGACTTCCTTGTTTTAGGGTTATGAGAGAATTTACAGTGAAATTCCAGATATTAATCTGGATGTCCCACATTCCTATTCTGTGCTTGAGCGATTTGTAGAAGAATGTTTCCAAGCTGGAATAATTTCCAAACAACTCAGAGATCTTTGTCCTTCAAGGTACTGTGTTAACTTTCTTTGCTAACCGAAGGTAGTGTTCTATCCTATCTCTGTTACAAAAAAAATAGTGTCTTCTCAGAAGTTACTAACGAAAGAGCAAGAATCATCCATGGTGGGGGTGGGGGGTGGGGGGTGGCGGAGGGGAGTGGTGGTTTATGGAGAAACAAGGAACGAAGTATGTTTTGACCCTTTGTAAATTGGTATGGACTACCTCGTGAAGGCCCACCTTCACTTAAAGGAAACTATCTTTGAGGAGTGTTCTGTGGACCAGTGTACAAGAATCTAGTCTAAGTAGTTTAAATATTATTTCAGAGGAGGTAGTATCACCAGTAAGATGAGAAAATGGAGGCTTGGAGAGGTATAATGTATTTTTTCTAAGGTTCAAAAAATTCAAACTTGTTGCCATCAATTCAGACTTATAGTGACACTATAGGACAGGGTAGAACTGCCTTATGGTTTTCCAAGACTCTTGATGGGAATAGAAAGCCTTATCTTTTTCTAAAGCAGCAATTGGTGGTTTCAAACTGCTGACCTTGTGGTTTGCAGCCTAGCATGTAGTCAAGCAAGAAACTTCTGGTACATTAGGTGCCATCCTTTGCCTCTTCACAGGGTTGCAGCTAATCAAATCAAATTCTTCAGGAAGTGAAGGTTTTTGTGTTAAAATAAGGCTTATAATGAAGATTATAATATTAAGGCCGTGGAAGTTTAATAAGGTTTTCATGTCTGGGCATAGTTTAATGTACATTTCAGGTCTTTCTAATTTTTATCTGAAAACATTTTTAAGCTTTATTTAAGAGCATCGTAAGAATTAAATGTAAGAAAAAAATTTCTAAGACGGTTCTTTGCTCTAGGACAGTGGTTCTCAACCTTTCTAATGCTGTGACCCTTTAATAGTTCATGTTGTGATGACCCCTCAACCATAAAATTATTCTCGTTGCTACTTCATCAACTATAATTTTGCTACTGTTATTAATCGGGCGACCTTGTGAAAGGGTTGTTTGACCCCCAAAGGGGTTGCGACTCACAGGCTGAGAAGGCCTGTTCTAGAACCTTTGTAGGAACTTAAGGGAGAAGGGAAAATGGCAAAAGATAATGGCTTTTTCAAAATGTTTGGGACAGGCCTCTACTTTGGATTGACACCACTTTGTGTATTGTGCCCCAATTGACAACTTTGCCAGGCTTCTTGTTACTTCCTTGTGCACTACCTCGATCTCATAATACATGAGAGGTCAGAAGTTATTGCTACTAGGGTTCCAGCTCAGACATGTAATGGGTTTATTCTAAACAAAATGTGTTTGGGCATGTTTCTGTGATCAGTGGATGGCTGTAGACAAATTCTCTCAGTAATACAGGTTGTGTTCCAAAAGAGTTAATCAACACTGTGGCATCTAAGGGGATCCGTTTGCTGGGTCAGATGATTCTGGTGATGATTTTGGGGGATTCCAAAGGAGTGGTTATTCTTGATAGATTTTTTCCCCAAGAGGACAGGGAGGTCACCAGGGCTTATATGAGAAAGTTTTAAGAAAATTGAAAATTATATTGAGGAAAAGGTCAGGAAAGTTACACTGCAGAATTTCTTTCCACCACGCCAACATCCTTACTCATTCTTCAAAGGTAGCAAGGCCTGGCTTAAGAGAATTTTTTTGAGAAATCCTACTCCAGTCCTACTGCCCCTCCATCCATATTACCCTTCCAGACATTTTTGTTCTTCAAACTTAACATTAAAAAAACCCCACAATTTGAGCACCTTCAAAGAAGCTAAAACTTTGGAGATGGGTTGCTTAGAGAGATCGGAACACTACTTTCATGAGTATATATAACTAGATGAAAGATATGTCAAACAATTGTAGATCACTTTTGATAATGTAATAGATGTTTCTTTGGTTCTGTGGCAATACTTTACTCAGTCTTCTATAGAATGAAGCCATTACGTTCAATTTTCTTAGCTTTATAAAGTCTAAAAATGGGTTCAACACCATGACACAGGTCTTTAAAAAATGTTCAGCCTTCTGTTTTTAAGTCAAATTGGTGATTTCTCTTATGGCTTTATTACTAAGGATCATTTGATGAGATGATATCCCTGGTATTGTAGTGGGTTAGGTGTTGAGTTGCTAACTGCGAGGTCAACAGTTTGAAACCACCAGCCACTCCTCTGAAGAAAGATGAGACTTTCTATTCCGGTAAAGATTAACAGCCTTGGGAACCCACGGTGGCAATTTTACTCTGTCTTACAGAGCCAACCTGAGTTGGAATTGGCTCAATGGTAGTTTGGTTGAACGAGATCCCTAAACTATTAAGGGTCCTGAAGAACTGTGACATTTACACTGCTCTTTTTGGCTTATACAATGAAGTGTACAGGGGAGCTTCAGAAAGTTCACAGAAAAGTAGATGCTGATTTTTCCCCTCCATGAACTTCCTGAAGCCCTTGTATATTCCTATGTGCCTGTGCATTGTTGGTCTGGGCCACAGAGTAAAGGTCAGTCCTGCCCCAGCTCTGCGTTCACTTAGTGCCTGGTGCTGCTGTGCACGGCTGTTACTGTGTAGAGCTCCACCGTGGCCATATTACGGAGCAAGTCTTCCAACGTTTGAAATCGCAGGAATCCCAAAATGGGGGTTAGGCTGTACCTAGCAGGATTTTGATGTTTTTCGTTACCCTTTCTACATCTGAGAGAGAATTTTTGAGCGTCCATAGTTCCAGTCTGATTCTAATTCGTGTATTTCCTGTTTGGCCCACTGTTTAGCTTTCATATATTAATAGTGTGATAGAATACTACATTTCTAAATATACGTTTGCCTTACATGTCTCCACTTTCAACAATTAGCTTTCATTTGGCTAAAAAAATTTTATTAACTGTTTAATATGCTGTACGCTAAAATGTTTATCAAGGAAAGTCTTCAAAGAGATTGGCAGCTTTTGAAACCACAGTAATGCCCTCCAGAACTTAACGTGTAGTAAACATCTGTTGTTTGCATGTGTCAGTTGCTATCGCGAGTATTTGAATCTGTCTTCATGGTTTCTATTCTTTTCATTACAGGGGCAGAAAGCGTTTTGTAAGTGAAGGAGATGGAGGTCGTCTAAAACCAGAGAGCTACTGAATATTCTTAACAGTCCAAGATGTTATAAAAATATATACCTGAATTATAAGAGCTGTTAGCAGTTTTTTTTTAAGCATTTGTTTTGGGTACAAGGCATATCTGAAATTTTATAAACCTACATTTAAGGGTAATTTTTAAAGAATTTTTTTAAGGGTATAAAAGATGAACAGAAAAGTAACCACTTAAGTGGAATATTCTAATAAGCTACTTTTTTAAAGTGCCATGTTTAGGACCTAATCATTCCAAGTTTTGCATTGATGTCTGACTGCCACTCCTTTCTTTCAAGGACAGTGTTTTTGTAGTGAAATCACTGGTTTATACAAAGCTTTATTTAGGGGGTAAAGTTAAGCTGCTAAAATACCCCATGTTGGCTGCTGTTGTTGAAAATACTGTGCTTTGGGAGTTTAAAAAACACACACAAAAAAGGTTATTTCTTTGTCTTAAAAGATTTTAAGGAAATGAGTTAGTCATCTTTCCAGGGGACATGTTGATTGGTCTTAAAGACTGGACAGTTCAGTAAACGGTGGCTGGAACATCTATTTTTGTACAAAACTGGAAAAGTGAACCTGGTTTTAGAAGAATGTATGACAAAATAAAACATGTGAAGCAGTGTTGATTCTTATTGAGTATATTTATTTTAGGTCTTAAAAAAACAAAAGAGCTTTGTAACTTTACACAGCAAAATTTAAATCATACAAGGATGACAATTTGCTTTTTTCTTGCTAGCATTTATATTACAAGCATAAAATGCATCTTAGAAACATTTAAATGGGGACAAATGCAGGGACCCCTACTCCCTATACACTGACCTGTTTAGCTAGAGCTTAGTGAAGTTTCAAAAATTTGTATAGTACCTATGCTAATTCTTAAGTTCTACTACTAAAATGTTAGGAAAATTATTCTCCAAAGACTCAAAAGGTTTTGCATTTAACAGCATCTAAGAAACTATCAGCTGCCAGTAAATGCTGGCATTACTCAGCCAGGTGTCAGGTCTATGCTTGCTTACATTGCTGATTAGTGATTCAGCAAAATTACCTGGAATTATGGCCAGAATCTTTATACAAGTATTAGGACTGTATCTATGATAAGTTTAGATTATCTTTTAAAATTACAATTCTAAATCTTCACATTTCCGTTAGGTTCTTTCAAGTCTGTGTTACTTTGGCTTATATTGGGCAGAGCCTTAAAATTTTTGGGGAAATGGAATGAAAGGATAAGATTTTCCGAAGAACTTTTGAAGTCACCTTATAATAAACACTTTCATGTATTTAATTTTTCAAGACCTTGATGAAGGTAGCCATATGATTTTTAAGTTTTGAAATGCAGTATAGTCAAGAATTTAGATGACCATACAGCATAGGTGAGGTTTTAATTAAAACAACTTTTAAGAAGCTCTTCAGTCATTACAAGTTAGCTCAAGATAACCTTAAACATAAGTTTAGTGAAAAACTTATTTATATACACTTTGTATTGGGTATTATAGAAACCTGAGTCTGAACACAAACACTGCATGTAGCCACTTAAACCTGAGAATATTGTCTGTAAACCTGATTAACAGTTGGCATACTGAGTAACTTGTAGTTCCAAGAACTTGACTTGGGTAAGACGCCAGATATTTTGGTTAAAAGTATTTTAATTTCTTGTATTCAATGCAAACCCAAGTATTTAAATTCCTAATAGGTCTCATCAATCTTGGGGTTTTTGGTGGCTGAATCTCATCTCTAATTCCCATCTGTCAAGAAAAACACATCTACTCCTCTTATCAGCAGGTAGGTGGGACAAGCTACCTACTGACACGGGTCTCCCTTATGGAAAGTACACTTGGCAAACATGACCCTGTGCTGGCTGCAAACATGGGGTTCTCTCTAGTGATGGCTCATTTTCTGGGTGGTCTCGCCCTTCTGGATGGGGGCAATTCCCCAGTGAAAAGTCATGCTGCTCCATATTCGCCACGGGCACTGCCTCCAAGAGGGCTGTCCCCTTCCATCAGGCTTGTCTCCTTACTCCCTTGAGGGCACAGGGTGTTATTCCTGAAGCAAGAAAAAGGCTGGTTCATCTATTGCCAACTGGCAGCACAAAGTCAAAAGGGGTTGAGAGTTGTCCCAGCATCTCAGCAAAGCACGTGTTTGAGGAGCCGGTCTTGGCTGAGGGTTTCAAAGCAGGTTTGTCTTCCCTTACGGCTTCTTGGAGCCCAGTACAAAGCATCCAACCATTATGGGATGGTGTCAGGCATGTCCTGGGCTGTATCTCCAGACTGCTGCCCCTGGCTGAACCCAGTCATGGATGGGAAGTCTTTGGACCACATGGAATTAAGCCAAAATGCAGTGAATCTTAAGGTAAACTTTTAGGCTATTTCTTACATATTGTTCAAACCTTTCTTATAAGAAATGGAATTCCTCTCAGGTTATACTATCTGGACATCAAATTGCAGGTTCTACACCTCCCTTGGCTTGGGAATTGTTCACCTGGTAGGCCAAGGTGTTTCCTATTTGCTCATCATCAGTGCAGCCAGCTTCTGGATGGATTATCTAGGGAAGCCCAGGTTTTGTTAATGAAGGTAGCAATGGCCTCCACCATTTTCCCTATTCATCTCTTGATGGTGTGTGCTGGGCGCCGCCACTTCTGGCAAGCTCCTCCGCCAGCCCAGGCATCTCAACCTCTCCTGAGGTTCCAGCAGTTGCCTGACCGGGAGACCTAAGTGGTCCGTTGGCTGAGACGCTTCCATAAAACAAGAGTTTGAGATCCAATTCCCACCAAATCTGGAGGCCGTCGCACAGCTCAATCTTGGTATTTCTGCAGTATCTATAGATTGTTGCTAGTTTTACTAATACATTTCTATTAGTATAAGATGTGGATATTCTTTCTGGTTACTATGAAACAGGCAGGGATGTGGTGGAAGTACTAGGTCATCATTCAGTGGGTTATTTGCTGCTTTTCCTTTTCTGCCAATTCTTGTTGGTGAACCATATCCTGGGCTGCTTGCTGCATTTTCTCCAGTTTTTCCAGAGTCAGAGATTTTAAGGGTAAAAGTTTGGGCTTACATAGCACCATTGTGGTTATATCTTCCACAGACAGCTGCCCTAAGTTTAATAAAAAATAAGAATTAATTCATCAAGAAAGAATCCAGTGGTTTTGATTTGTAGCTAGAATGAACATCTCAAAACTTGATCCATTTATCAATGAAACTTTTGTTCTTAAACTGAGTTTAGTTGTGGAACTGGAAGCACAATTAGCTTTTAAGAAATGATATTTCTTGATGTTGGGGCAGTGGGTAAGAAAGTTTAAGGAAAACATAACTTCCTACCCAAGAATAGGTCCCTAGATGGTGTGAACAGTTTCCTTGACTCCTACTATAAAGGCTGTGATTTCAGCCTACCCAGAGGTACCAAGGAGGAAAGGTATGGTGAACTGCTATTAATATTACAACCAACAAAATTCAGTGGACTAGATCTATTACACATGGGGTCACCATGACTGAAAAGTTTGGCGGGCTTTTTCTAAACCCAAGGTACCATGAGATAAACAACTTATCTGGTCAAATGTCTACTTTGAAATAAAATTAGGTAGCATTGCATAGTGTACAAAAGTACTTATGCAGAAAAATGTGTTAGTTTAACAAGTATTTAAATTACACAATATTAACCTTAAAATTTCAGTTTTCCTTATACTATTGTTTAATTTAGGTTTCTTTTCCCTCACTTCCAGACCTTATTAAATACTGTGGTAAATCTCATTACGCATAGTTCTCATTAAAACATTTCAAATTTCAGTTTTGCGTGTGGTACATACTTTTTAAGGATTAAAAAAAGTTTTGGTCATTTTATTGGACTTTTTATCTAGTAAAATTGCTTTTTGTAAGGCAATTTTCCTTTTAAAAAGGAAATGTCTCCCTTTAAAATCTACTCAGGAAAGAAGTGTGGTAAAAAGTAGATAGGAAATAAGGTGCAGAGAACAAAATGGTTCGCTACTCCGCTAATTATGGGATACTCTATCCTATGACCTAGTATATGTGATGTATGACCTTGTTTTGGAAGCACTTCCCGGAACATTGACTTCATTTCTGCCATATCTTAATTGTAAACTTCTTCCTGAAATGATGAGAAATCAGTGATTAATATCCAAGAACAAATTCCCAAAGCGTCTATGGCCCATACTATTTTCATTAGGCCCATACTATTTTCATTATAAAGAATCCCTACAGAAAACCACCCTTTCCTTGCATAATGTCCCCACTAATTTCCTGTGGGTCTTTTCCCTGAAGCAAAGTTAACATGGTGCATGTGGGCATGTTTCCTTCTGTTGTCCCCGGGGTTGCTGTGTCAGAACACACTTGAGGGCACCCACAACAGCAGAGCTCCTTGCAACTGTCCTTAGTTGGGAGGTTAGATATTGTAAACCCCTCCCCCTGCACCCCCACCCCACATCCCCATGCCACATAATCGCAGAACTAGTTTTCGAAGAAATAACAGCTGAGGAAAAAGTGAGCGCCTATGTGCAACATCTTGGGTCACTGTCCGCATCTCCCCTGGACAATGGGCGAGGTAACATGACTGCCATTTGGAGGCTGGGGTGAGGCAGCTAGTAAAAGAAAGGAAGAGCCTGCCTCGTAGTCCCTCAGCGCAGCACCAAGCAGCTGGGGTCTACTCTGAATCCCTTTATGACAAATTTCCCAAGGATCAGTTCCAGCTCCATGGCTGCAGTCTGAAAGGAGTTAGCACAAATGGGTCGAGTTTGCCCAGCACTCCAAGGAGGCAGGGTTCCAGCTGTTTCCCTCATTAGAAAGAGACGGCATGGCAGAATGCCAGCATACACCCTTACAAAAGTACTTTATGACGATTCCAGCACACACATCATCTCTGACCGATGCCATTTGCTCCAAAAGCTACATTGCAGATTGCTGCTGCGCTCTGTTTAAGGTACTCTGCACTATTTGTAACACGATCCCTTTCCAAACTCTGATGTGCGTCCAGACAGTCCCACCCATTTTGTGATATTTCACCACACTGATGCGAGCTCACCATGCCTCTTTCATAACACCACCACAGGAGAAATATTTATAAAGTGGTGATGCTGGCGCGGTGCCTGTCTTTACCACCCACTGTCAGTTAGTTACAATCAAGTGGGGGCGTTTCTCGTCTTCCTTTTTCCGAGCACTCCTTGACATTCCGAATCAAAGCTTCTTATTCTTTATCTACCAGCCCCTTGCCCCTCTTGTTCAAATTCCTATTCTGTGAAGTCTACCATAAATAAGTTTTAGAGGACCCCGTATCTACTCTGCAGAACCTTGCCATCAAACATTGGCTGTACACTACTCCATCTGGGAGTGAAGATGAAGCGGGGAATGGACCAGAAATAAACCAACTTCTTACTGAATGGAATCTGAGATAACAGTTTCCTTAGAATGCACGGCAGCTCCTCCTATCTCATTCTGTCCTCTGTCCCTGTGCCTAGTCATTGCCTTTTTCTCCTTCCCTCCCTTGGTTCCCCTAAAGGCTAATACCGCTGCAGACCCTAACGAATAGCTATGTATTGGGCTACTAGCTGCACGGCCAGCTATTGGAAACCAACCTCTGGGAGAACCACGCGCTTTCTACCCGCTTAGAGAATTAGTCTCAGGAATCCACAGGAGCAATTCTACTTGATGGCTTGTGTGTGAGTTGTCTTTTTTGAATTAGTTTTTGAATTATTTAGTGTAAGAAGCCCTAATGACACTGCTGGGTAAGCCCTGGACTGCTAATGGGAAGGTGCTCCCAGGGAGAAAGAGAAGACTGTGTTCCTGTAAAGATGTACAGTCTCAGAAATCCCCTATCGGGTTACTATGAGATGGAATTTATTCAATGGCATGCTGGCTTGGGTTTTGCTTTTAGGGTAAATCTGACATGCCACGGAGAGAGGATACCTATTATAGATGTTGGTAAATATGGATGAAATGGATTTGAGCTAAGAACTTCCATACAGACAAGGGGGCTTTAAAACGTGCGTGGAATTGAAGTCCCTTTCTCATCACTAAAATGCTAAAATGGTCGGCAAATAATTAAATTTTAACTATTTTATAGAGTAAGAACTTCAGCTATGTACTATGTGACCATTATCCTTTGCTTTCTCATTCATCTGTATTTCTTTCACATCCCAAAGCTGGCCTGGGGAAAACAATGAAACTTGGTGCTCTCCCAAACCTCAGCTCTCAGTTGGACTGAGCTGCCATTGTTACTGGATAGGGTGTGAGCCAAAGGTCTGGGAGGGAGGGGCTGGGCCCGTGTGGGGAAGATCTGTGGCATCCCTGGCCTAGGTGAACTGTCACTGTTCTTGCGTTGGTTCTTGTTCCTAGGCCCCCTTGGGCGTCAGCAGGAGAAAACAGGAAGGGAAGGGCTAAAACAAGCACGGTGGTGGCTGGAGGGCGAGTACTGGAAAGGCTACAACATTGTTTTGGTTAATTAGCTGCCCTGGAAGTCCAGAGCGGGAAGGAGCATTTACTTCCTTCTCCCTGGCGGCCTGCCGGTAGCCAAACATGGGAGCTTTGTCTGGTGGCTGTTCCTGAGAGTACTTATTTACTGGTCAGGCAGGCAGATGTATGTAACAACAGGGACAGATGGGGGCGAAGAGCATATAATAGCAATGGCTGAAACTTATGTGGATTATACACTTATCAGGGGGAAAATTAACTTACTACTAGAGTTCTAGTTTTCATGTTTACAGATGTTAGATACCGAGAGGAGGAGTATGGGTAGTGCAGTGGTGAAGCGCTGGACTGCTAACCAAAAGGTTTAGTCACCAGCTGCTCTGAGGGAGAAATGTGGCCGTCTGCTTTTGTAAGCCATGTAAACACTATGGGCAATAGTACAGTCTTACAGGGTCACTGTGAATCAAAAGCAACTTAAGGCAATGCACTTTTGTTTAAGCTGTCTTGACTACTTGGGAAGGAAATGAGAAGAATTTTAAGTTTTCAATTTCTTAGATTTTATGTTAAAAAAATGTAGTGAGCTATCATTAAGAAAAAAAATTAAATAACTAAAAGACTTTATATTAGGTTTTCTTTCAATTGGGTTGTTGGCAGAAACTCGAGCAGCTTCCTGACTTGCAAATGCACTAGTTACCAAATAATGAATTCTTAGGCTTTTCTCATCATAGTTTCTACCATTTACCTTTAGTCTTTTGTTTGTCATGTAAGAGATTTTAACATCCAAGTGCATTTCATCCCAGTGAGATACTATGTGGGTGAGAGAATCCTTTCCTTGGTAAAGTCTAAGAAGATGATTTTGAACGGGATATGGATGAGCCTGGAAGGCACTGGACTCGGTGAAAAAGTCAACCATAAAAACATGTATGACATCATTGTAAGGCGGCAGAAAAGGTTTTCATACTAAAAGAAGCATTCTTTGATGGTTAACAGTGTGGGGAGGAGAAGGGAGGGTAAATCACTAACTAGAAGGTAGACATCTATTAACTTGGATAAAGGGGAAGGACACATAAATGAATGTACTAGGTTTCAAACCCTAGAGTAGGGCTTAATAAATAACAATGGGCAATGATTATATATAAACACAAATTACAAAATAAAAGCAACTTAAATTATAATTTTTATTCTCTTGGGAACGGTCAGAACTTTCATGCCTATAAATGAAGGCCAACCTAGGGAGAAAAAAAGATGGGGGAGTGTTATGAGAAATGATAACCCACATTAAGCCTTGTTTACAAGGCCGGTTTTCTTGGGGAAATTCAATGTTAGTAAGGATTACCTATGGCAATTTAGGATCTAGAAACAGATCATTCTTTTTTTGGAAGTAGTAGTATAAGCATATCATTCATATATCATAAAATTTGATCATTCAGTCATATTGAGAAGATTTGTGCAATCATTACCATGATCAATTCTAGAAAATTTTCTTCTCATACTCATTGCTGGTAGCTCTCCCCCCACCCCCCACCCCCATGCCCTTTAGTAATTATTTATCCAGTTACTGTAGATTTACCTAGTCTGGGTTTCACCTACAGAAAAACAGACAAAAACAAGAGACCAAAAAAACCTCAACAATGACAAAATAAAGCAGAGAAAAACCCCAATGGAAAAACAGAAAATATTTTAAAAATGAAGTAACTTTAAAATCAATCAAAAGGGAAAACAAATGATAAGGTGTTACATTTTAACCTAACTACATCTGTCATAATCAACTTTACAGCGCGCTCTGTCCACAGCAAGGCTAATCACATCCCTGGACTCTGGTCAGGGTGGGTTCACTGGAGACCAAGCTCTGTGAAGACCTGCCACGCATTCTGGGCTCCACTCTCATCCACAGCCGCCCGCCGACTGAGTGCTCGAATCGAAGCTCCGATACTGCTCCTTCCTTCGGACCTGATTCTATCACGATCTTTGGATCACACAGACTGGTGTTTTTCTTCCATGTGGACTTACAACACCTCACTTAAATGCTGCGTGTTTGAAGACAAGTATTTAAGACACCAGATGCTATTCTTTCTGATAGCCAGGCACCAAGGCGGATCACTGCACCATGCTCGCATGCATACTCTTTGGCAGTTTCTGGGCATCATCCAACACATGCCAATCTTGGTTTAAACACTGCTAGCTTATATCATAATTGCCTGTGGCAGTCCACAGTCCTCTCGATATTCTTCCAGCATCATAATTCAAATGCATCAATTTTTTTTCAGTCTTATTCAATGTCCAACTTTCAGATGTATTACGAGGCAATTGAAAATACCATAGCTTGGGTGAGGTGCACCTTAGTCCTCAAAGTAACATCCTTGCTTTTCCACACTTTTTATTAAGGTCTTAGGCAGCAGATTACCCAACGCATTGTATTTTTTGACCCCATGACTGCTGCTTCCATGGACACTGATTGTGGAGCCACGGCCTATGTATTAAGTATTAAGGAACACACATTCAGTGTTTTAAAATAGCTGATTTTGAAATTAGTAAAGGTTAACATTCCTTTTGAATGAGCCCTGGCGGCGGACCTAATGGTTATGAGTTGGGCTGTGAGTTCGTTTATTGTGCCAACCTGGCCGATAAACACATGTGGGGTTAATTGAAGGGTGGAGGGATAAATGGCTTAGTGAGTCTCTCTCACCT